GGGCTCTGTGTTAAGTGTTTCACTCACTGAAGCCTGACAACAATCTTATGATGTAGATATGATTATGATCACCACATTTAACAGAGAGGTTAAGTAACTTACCCCAAGTCACACAGCAAGTAAGAGAGCAGCTGGAATTCAAATTCAGGCAGCTTGGATCCAGAATCCTTGCTCCTTTTTGTTGTTGTTGTTGAGATGGAGTCTTGCTGGGATTATAGATGCATGCCACCATGCTTGGCTAATTTTTGTATTTTTAGTAGAGACTGGGTTTTGCCATGTTGGCCAGGCTGGTCTCGAACTCCCGACCTCCGGTGATCTGCCCGCCTTGGCCTCCCAAAGTGCTGGGATTACAAGCATGACCCAGTGTGCCCAGCCCAGAATCCTTGCTCTTGACCACTATGCTATACTGCCCCATGACCTTGCCACACGCAAGATGGGCTGCCATCCACACTCTGCTTCTTTTATTCTAGCAGAGCCAGACGGGTGTTCATGGATCTGAGCGTGTGCTCCATGTTCCATGTGGGTGTCCAACTGGGCCTCAGTTCAGAGAACAGCAGGCAAACGACCTCCCTTCTCTTTGACTTGGCCTGAAGATCTGTCTGATGAACCAGGCCCACGGACGGCAGGGTTGAAGCTGGAAACACAGGCAAGCGGGGCTTTCGGAAATACTAGAGAAAACGCCTTCCGTCCATTTCCACAGGCTGAGGGGTTTCCATCTGTTCATCTTCCGGGTGGCTGTTATCAGGCAAATCCAGGAGAACGGCCTTCTGTGGCTGCCTGGGGGGCTCCTGGCTGCAAGGCCTGGGCCCACAGGAGGGCAGGCAGCTGTGTGGTGCCGGAATGATCTGGTGGGAACAAATTAGCTCAATTCTGCTCTGCTGTTTAAAGTAAATATGGGGCGGGGTGTGGTGGCTCAGGCCTATAATCCCAGAACTTTGGGAGGCAGGAGGGGAGGATTGCTTGAGTCCAGGAGTTCGAGACCAGCCTGGGCCACATAGTGAGACCTCTTCTCTACAAAAAATAAACAAAATTAGCTGGGTGTGGTGGCGGGCGCCTGTAGTCCCAGCTACTCAGGAGGCTGAGGTAGGAGGATCCCTTGGGCCCAGGAGATTGAGGCTGCAGTGAGCCGAGATCACACCACTGCACTCCAGGCTGGGCAACAGAGCGATAACCTCTCTCAAAAAAATATTAGTAAAGCAAATACGAGCTCTCTCCCTGGCTGTCTGGTGCTGAGAGTGGAGAGTAAGGCATTGGCGGGTCTAGACCTACTCTTTTGGTTTACATATGGATGAGCCAAGATCCAGAGAGGCTGACTTCAACATCATAGAGCACATTGGCGCCAGAACTGGGACCGGAACTCAGCTTCCATAACTGTCAGTCCCATGTTCTCTTCCCTAGATATCAGAGGGCAGGAGCAGGTCCCAAAATGTCTGAGACCCCCAGCTGCCTTGTGTCCCAAATTCTTGGCCCTGTTCTGCCCCAGACAGTCTCCTTTCAGCGTCCTGACCTCGGACCATCGCCTGTGCTGCCAGGTCTTGCATCTGTCAGGCGGGAGTTCAAGGATCATTGTCGCCAGATAATAATAGTCAGGAGCTCAGGGACCCTTGGATGAAAGGTGTCAGAGACAAGCTGTCAGTGACGCACGAGGATTTGGACAGCGTCCTGGGGCACGGCGGCAGACCACGCCCAACGTGGGGGAAGGGAGTCTGTGTGGCCCAGTGGGTTTGGGGCTGGACTCACATCCCGGTTTGCACGCTTGTGTCAGGACACATGCGATCTTGGAGCAGGTGAATTGTTCATGTTATCAACAGGACACACTATTAGGAATCTAGGATCCTGGGATAGGATGGACTTTGAGATCAACAAATCCAGCCCCCTCTTCCAAACGCACAATTATTTTATCACCCAAAGGAACACACTTTCAACACCATTCTCACACACTTACTATTTGATCAATAGTCAGATCTCCCATCAGGAAGGGGGCCTAATAACTTGTTAGGTCCAACTTCGAATATGTGCACAGAGACACACACAAATGTGCACTTTGTTAAACAAAGGTGATCGGGCGCGGTGGCTCACGCCTATAATCCCAGCACTTTGGGAGGCCGAGGCGGGCGGATCATCTGAGGTTGCGAGTTCGAGACCAGCCTGGCCAACGTGGCGAAACCCCGTCTCAACTAAAAAATACAAAAAGTTTAGCCGGGCGTAGTGGCACACGCCTGTAGTCCCAGCTACTTGGGGGGCTGAGGCAGGAGAATTGCTCAAACCCAGGAGGTGAAGGTTGCAGTGAACTGAGATTGCACCACTGTACTCCAGCCTGGGCAACAGAGCAAGACTTCATCTCAAAAAAGAAAACAAAAACAAAAACAAAAACAAAAAAACATGAACTCATTCTCAGTTTGAGGAGCTGAGCGTCCTGGTTGTGAAACATCCTCCGCATAAAACCCTGGGCTGGAGACTACGGGGATCAGGTGCTTCCTTGTGACAACTTCTGGGCGTGGTGGCTCAGGGCGCAAACTGGAGTGTAGCCACAGTACATACTGTGTACTTTTACGAGGATGTCATGGAGCCTGGAAACCATAAAAGAGGAGCTTTGCAAGGAACTGAAACCGTTAGACAGGAGAGAGAACCCTGAGCAGACAGGGTTGCCCCTGCCAAACATTTCAGGCTGTGGCACAAGGGAAAGGGTGGGAGTTGTGAAACTGTTTCATTTTGGGTTTGGGTCTGGGCTCTGCTGCTGGCCAGCCACGTGACCTCGGGCAAGCCACTAATCTCTGTGGTCTTCCATGAGTGAAAGGTGGAAACTCACTCCTACCCAGAGGGCACGTGTGACTCCCTTTAACCAGCACCCACCTGCTCACAGCAGGAAGGACCGAGATCTAAAGCTGGAGGTGGGTGCTCAGGGTCCCAGCAGAGGCCCCTGGGGCACCTCACTGAGTGCCTGGCAGGAGTGGGTGCCTGTCTCAGGGCTGGGTTGGGTTGCTCCCACCAAGATCCTTCATCATCTGCACAGTGAGGGGACTGGGAGGTTCAGAGAGTCACAGCTTGGGCTCAAAACAAGCGACAGGTTTCTGAGTGTGAGGATTGTTCTGGAGTGGAATGGTCCTCACACGTAGGAGTGAGCCTCCTGTAGCTAGAGCTATTTAGGCAGCTGAAGGACAATCCCTAGGCAGGAAGTTGCAGAGATGGTCGCAGCGTGGACTAGAACTGCTGTTTTGGTCACTCAGACCTCATAACCTGGCTTCTCTGGACAGCACCCCTGCAATAATGAGCTGGCAACTTTATGCCTTGGAACCTCGGTTTCCACATCTGTAAAATGGGAATAATATGAATGACTCAAAAGGAAAATGCAAGTTGAGTCTACCATAGAACCTGGCACATAGTAGGTGCTCAGCTAGTCCAGGGTCCTTCAGCCTGTGTTCCTGGCCCACCCACAATGCCATTCAGCCATCTCCTCTTCAGGCAACTTGGGGGAAATTGGAGTGAAACCAGCGAGCAATGCAGAGATGCTTTTTTCCTTCCTGCCCCTCATAGTAAAGAAGATGCTAATGATAATAAAATAACAATAGCAAGCATTTATATGACACTCAGTATGTGTCAGACACCCTGTTGGTACATAGCACACACTATCTCACTTAATCCTTTAGGTAGGGACAAGTTATCCCCATTCCTTGTATGAGGAAGCTGAGGCACAGAGAGGTGAAGCAAATGGCCCAGGGTCACACAGCTGGGAAGACAGGGAACTAAACTGGAGCTCTAGTCTGGCTGCCCCCAGACCTCACACTGCACCTCCCATGCCTGACTCCAGCCTTCCCTGCGCCCACAGGCTCTTTAAGGGTCACCCTGAGACTCTGGAGAAGTTTGACAAGTTCAAGCACCTGAAGTCAGAGGACGAGATGAAGGCGTCTGAGGACCTAAAGAAGCATGGCGTCACCGTGCTCACTGCCTTGGGCGGCATCCTTAAGAAGAAGGGGCATCACGAGGCGGAGATTAAGCCCCTGGCGCAGTCGCATGCCACCAAGCACAAGATCCCTGTGAAGTACCTGGAGGTAGGAGGCAGAGCCTGGGCAGGTGGGAGGATGTGGGGAAGGCCTCGGGGTGGGACAATGGGATCTGGGCTCGAGTCTCAGCTCAGCCACTAACTTGTGGGATGTCCTATGCCACTCCTCTCTGTGCCCCAGGCTTCTCATTTGTCAAGGGGACTGCCACCCACTTTGCCTTCCTCCTGGGATCGTTGAGAATGAACACCTTTAGCATTTTTAATTTAGCATGCCAAATTCACATCTTATTACCAAAGAGGAAGGGGAGAGGGGATATTGGGTGCAAAATTGGCATCCTCTCCATGGGTAGGTACCATTATCATATCCATTCGATAGATGGGGAAACTGAGGCACACAGAGGTTAAGCAGCTTGTCCATGGTCACAGAGGTGGATAACAGCAGAGCCAAGATTCAAATGCAGGTCTCCATTACTACAGAACCCCAGCCCCTGTGCCACTGGGAGTCTGGTACATGCAGGACTTACGTGGCAGGAGCTCAGCAACTGGGGCTCAATTTGGGGTGGGGTGGAACCCTACTGGTTCCAGCATCTTCACAGATGGAGAGACAAGACCTTGGTTTCCAGCACAAGCAATGGGTTTGAACCTCCTGAGATGGGTTGGAAAGTTGGGTGGATCAGGGTTGGGGGCAGGAGCCTGGGCTTCAGGTTGTGTGTCTATAACTGGTGGGAGGAGGCAATCTGGGGAGAGGAGGAAGCTGGGGATGAAGGACTACAGGGACAGGTGCATGCCCCGAAGGTAGAAACAGCAGGAAGTCTGGTGCAGCAATGGGATGGGCCACAGTGAGCATTTGCTGCCATGCCTAGCACATGGTATCCATCCTCCAAGTTGCCTCATGGCCAAAACGGCTGCAAGAGCTCCAGTCACCTCTTCTATATCCCCGACTGGAAGGAGGAGAAAGAGAGGAATGCTCTCTTTTGAGGAGTTTAAGGAGTCCCAGAAATCTCATCCAACAATTTTATTTACATCTCATTGGCTGGAAGTTAGTTCTGGAGCCACCCTGTCTGCATGGGAAGCTGGGAAAGGTGGTCTATTACCCCTCCAAATACAACTAGTGTTCTGTTACCAAGGAAGAAGGGGAAATGGATATTGTGGAGGTAATTAGCAGTCTCTGCCCCAGGCACGTACCCTTCTCATCCCCATTTTACTGGTTTGGAAACTGAGAGCTCAGAGGGGTTAAGTAGCTTGCCCAAGGTCACACAGCTAATAAGCCAGGAGGTACAGTCAGATCTATGGTACTCTGGAACCAGGCTCCGAATCCACTGTGGCACAATATCACCTCTTGCTTGACAACCACCACCACCCCTCTTTAGCCTCAACCCTTGCACCCCACCCCGCAATTGTGCAGAGTCCTGCCTGCCCACCGCTCCACATCACCAGCCTGAACAGACAGCCCTGCACGTGAGGCCATCCCTGCCTCCCCATCTTCTCTCTGCAAATCCCTGTTCATCCACTAAGGCCCAGTGTGAAGCCATCTCCCCTACTTGGGCCCCAGGCCCACGAGGTCCTCAGCTTCTCCATCTGCCAGCGCCTCTCTGCACCGTGGTACTTTATCCTCATCCCCGGCCATAGCACTGCCAGGCTGTGTTATAATTTGTCTCTTTGCCCAGTGGTCTCCCAGCAGGCACTCAGCTCCCGAGGGGCTACCATTTCTGTGCCCCAGTGGCATGTGGTTGGTTCACCATACACTTCCAATAAGTGAGTTCTCTCTCTCGAGAGGAAGAAGCTGAGTCTTGGATAGAAAAAACCATGCAGCCAAGATATCACAACCAGTTGGCCGCTAGAACCCAGGTCTCCCTAGAACATGCTTAATCTGATGCATAACCTCTGCAAAAAATTAAGGCAGAGCCCAGGCGTCTGCTCGTCCCCCTCACGGTGGGCCGTCCTTCTGCGCTGTTCATAAGGCAGCCTCCACCTCACCGGTGGACAGGTCGTCTCTCTGAGGGACTGAGGGGCTGCACAGGGTGGTGGGTGCCGAGAGAATTTTCATTTCTCAATTATGCAGTGGCCCCATTCCACTGTTTGCTAGATATGAGTGGCTCTGCCATGGACTCTAGAAAGTCTGAGCTGGGGGTCCAACCAGGTCATCTGGGTGGGTGAAGTCACACATGGGGTCGGGGCATAGGTGGCCCTGGAACTTGGTTCTCTCAAGTTCTCTAAGGACAGGGCTTGCTCCATGACACCCCGAGCCCCCACTTTGTTTTGTGGCGTTCATGAAATGGAAGGTGAAGTTAAGCGTCCACCTCGATGCCCGAGAGGAGGTGTTTGTGGAGCTGTTCCTCTTTCCAAGCGGAGGGGCTTACGGGGTGTTGATGCTTCTTGAGGCCTCTCTTTGCATGTCCCCCGCCGCGACTATCCCTGCTTTATGTCACTTGCACCCTGGGGCCCTGAGAAAACGAGAAACCCAGCCTTGGTTCAGCCACTGCCTCCATTCCCAGCTTTGGCAGTGACCTGCCCACAGCCTCCTGGGCACAAATCCATCTCTGCTCTCCGCCTGTGTGACCTCCGTCTGGCCACTTGTCTCCTCTGTAAAATGACACTCCTTGGTGCACCGGCCAGGGCTGCGGTTGGGATCAAATCTGGTTAACTGTTGAGAAAGCACAGCCGCGTTTTACATCCACCAGTCTTTCCGTCCCTAAAGCAGCCCCATGCTACATCTCCGTTTTCCCATGCCCATCTCCGTTATCCAGGCAATGAGACCGCAGGTACTAAAGCAAATGGCAATGCTGAGGCTGATAGCAGACATTCTCCATCCTGGGAGCCAGCCATGGGTCTCAGGCCTGTCCCTTCCTCTCTCTACTTCCCTCCCACCAGTGTTTCTGCGCTTGGTACAAAAAATAGGAGGCTGTGCTCCCAAAATAAGGGCTTTAAAACAATAACCGTATCAAGTCATTAAGTATGCAAAAATTGCACACACACAAATAGAAATAGTTCCTTTTTAGACTTTCTGATTGCAAAATCCTGAATACAATAATGAAATCTGAGCATTTCCCTTCTTTTCTGCTGCCCCCATGCGGGTGGTGCCCTGAGCTCTCACCTGACTTCAGTGGAATCCACATCCTGATGGAGTGGAGGGGGCTGTGGGTAAGAGCGTGGGCTCCGGAGCCGGCCCTCCTGGGTCCAAATGCCCCTTCCATTCAACCTCCTCTTGCCTCAGTTTCTGCATCTGTAAATCGAGGGCAGTGGTAGTATCTATCCCACAGTGGCTGTGGGGATCAAAGGGGTTCATCCATGGAGATCACACAGACTCTCACCCGGTGCCTACAAAGTGCTCAATACACGGTCCTGGAATAAAGAGAAGGTGGGAGGAGACCTGGCCCCCATCTGGCTCCTGGTTTGTCCCACCCCGGTGACCACCATCTCTCTTCACCCTCCCTGCAGTTGATCTCGGAATCCATCATCCAAGTTCTGCAGAGCAAGCATCCCGGGGACTTCGGTGCCGACGCCCAGGGGGCCATGAACAAGGCCCTGGAGCTGTTCCGGAACGACATGGCCGCCAAGTACAAAGAGCTGGGCTTCCAGGGTTAGGCCCCTGCTGCCCCCACCCCACCCACCTGGGCCCCGGGTCCAAGAGAGGGCGGGGATCTGATCTCGTGTAGCCGTGTAGAGTTTGCTTCTGAGTGTCTGCTTTGTTTAGTAGAGGTGGGCAGGAGCAGCTGAGGGGCTGGGGCTGGGGTGTTGAAGTTGGCTTCGCATGCCCAGCCATGGGCCTCCCTGTGGAGTGTCATCACCCTGGGAACCAGGAGTGGCCCTTGGCTCACTGTGTTCTTCATGGTTTGGGTCGGAGTTCATCGTCCTTTCTTCTAAATCCCAACCTAACTTCTTCCAACCTCCAAACTGGCTGTAACTACCCCAAATCCAAGCCATTAAGTACCCCTGACAGTAGCAGTTTTCTGATTCATCACTGGCCCCTTGAAGACAGCAGAATGTCCCTTTGCAATGAGGAGGAGATCTGGGCTGGGCGGAGCAGCTGGGGAAGCGTTTGAGTATCTGGAACATGTGTGTGCCTTCTCAGGTATGGCAGTGACTCACCTGGTTTTAATAAAACACCCTGCAACATCTCAGTCTCTGCCTGGCATTTTTCATCTCCTAGAGTAAATGACGCCCCCACCAGCACCAGCATCAAGGAAGAAATGGGGGGAAGGCAGACCCTGGTTTGTGTGTGCAGAGAGCCTCAGGGAAGAGGAGAAGGGGAGGAAGAGAAGCAGGAGGGTGAGAGGGACAGGAACTCACCCTCCTTAGGCCACCACTCAGAGGCAGGCCCACTGCAGGGCATGGGGAAATGGAGGGGACAGCCTTGGCCCCAGCCTTGGGAGCGTGTTCTCTTTGGCGGAGTGGGGAGGCAGTGAACAGAACTCTGCAATACAAGGAGAGAGTGACAGGTGCGCCGGGCTGTGGGAACCCAGAGGAGAGGGGACAGGATGAGGGAACAGATCGTCATTATGGCTGCAACACCTTCAGTAACATGGGAAGGTCACCCGGCTAGTAAGTGGTAGAGCCGGGACTCAAACTACGGCCTGGAAGGCAGCAGGGACTCCAGCCAGGGAGACAGCAAGGCGGCCAGCCAGTGGCAGCTGCTGACCTTCTGGTCACAGAGAAAGGACAGACACATGGGGAATAATTTACAAACACAGGCCAGGAGACAAAATCCATATCCGCAAAGGCAGAGTGCACGGGCAGAATATGTAAGTATCGCTGCAAGAGCCAAGAATAAAATGTTGGCATCTAATTGTGGCAGCCAGGAAGCAAGCTGCAGCAGAGGGTGAAGAAAGGGGCCTGGAAAAGGGCCTGCTGGGCTGGACCGGCCCAGGTGCCCAAGCCATGAGGGCCTAGAATGACACCACGACTCTGGGCATCATCTCTGGGAAGCCCCAAGTCCTGGGCACCATAAATCTCCAGTAGCTCCCAGAACAAGGGACCTTGAGCCCCCACGCCCTTGAGCATCTCTCGCGGGGTCCAGCCCTCCCCCTCCCCCATGATAATCGTGACCTCACTGTCCCAAACCTCAGACTAAGCGCAGGCTCACGGCTGCTGGGCAGAGCAGTGCTCCTCTGCTGGATGTGGACACGTCCCAAATCTTAGCACACTTATTTATCAGGCTGTGCACACTTATTTATCAGGCTGTGGCACTAGACAACCGCATTAAAGGGGTACCTTCTTCCTTTCTGCGCCAGGCTTTGGGAATTCGTATCCTCTGTGAAGAGGTGGGAGACAAAGGAGAGGAGTCCAGGGTGAGGGAAGCTTTTTGATATTGGAGCCTGGAGAAAAATTCCACGTACTTAGAGAGTAATTCAATTGAACACTCAGGCAATGAGCAGTTCTGTAGAGGATTCGTGTGCAGGATTTAAAGTTGAATAAACTGGGTCCCTGTCCGCAAGCCATTGACAATCTAGTCAGGGAGACAGATGTGTTCTGATAATTAAATCAGGGCAGAACACCATTAGGGATGCAGAGATGCACTCGTTATTTGTTATTCATTCAGCATCCATTCAACACATGTGTGCTAAGCACAGCAATTTTTTTAAAAAAAATTCCCAGTTTATGTGCACCTTGGATGCACACGATGCAACTTATTCTGTGTGTGTGTATGTGTGTGCGCGCGTGCGCGCGCGTGTGCCTGTGACTCAAGGGGACTTGTCTTTTGAATCTTCATTGTGCCTGAGTGGCAGATACTTAACCTCTGTTTATTTGAGATTTTTCTGTGGTTTTGGGCTTATTCCAAGGGGCTTATGTGTGCCAAGTTGTGGTGTGCGTGCATGGGGAGGTGGCAATCTGGTGGCTGCTGTCATCTGTCCCCAGGAGTGACCTCCGCACTGCTGCACCCACCTGGTCCTCAGTCATTGTTCCTTATCAGATCCTCTGCATAGGAAACTGTGACCCCTTTTGCCCGGGACCACTTCCTCCCTGAAACACTCTTGCCCCATGAAGGCTCTGCCTGGAATGTGAAGCACGGATTTTCTCTGGGCTCAGACCCCGCAGACCTGTCTGAGCTTTTTTTTTTTTTGCCTCCTCTAGGACTTGGCAGGGCTTGTGCAAGGCGGCTCTGTACAGTTGTATGGGTTGTGCACTCCACATGAGTGCCTGGACGAAGGGAGTAATAGGAGCTGCATGCGAACTGTGCTCCAGTTACCAAGCTGTGCACCCAGAGGGGATGCCTTGTCCTAACCCACGCAAGGTGCTTTATGAGCAGGGACAGAGCCTCTTTCTCTGAGAACCATCTGCAATCTGGCTGTTTTCTCCGCAGTTCTCTTCTTTACGACAGTTTCAGAAAAGTGATTCTCTAGCCTGGAATGCAGAAAAGTCTCATGATTTCCTCCAAGTCTTTTGTCCTTTCTGTATATTCCTTCTGGTTCTCTCCAAGTCTAAGCTTTCGACGCTGCGAATCCAGGCAAGAGACATGAGGTTTTTTGTTCTCAGCTGTCACATCCTTCCCTGAGGCTCGGGGACAGAAATACTTTGTTGTCTGAAGAAAAGGTAAGGGCAAAAGGAATAAAGGAAATCCTGGGGGAAAAATAAAGGTTAGCATTTTAAAAATATCTGGCTGGGCGCGGTGACTCACGCCTGCAATCCCAGCACTTTGGGAGGCCAAGGCAGGCGGATCACCTAAGGTCAGGAGTTCAAGACCAGCCTGACCAACATGATGAAACCCCATCTCTACTAAAAATACAAAATTAGCCAAGCAAGGTAGCACATGCCTGTAATTCCAGCTACTCAGCAGGCTGAGGCAGAAGAATCGCTTGAACCTGGAAGGCAGAGGTTGCAGTGAACTGGGATCGTACCACTGCACTCCAGTCTGGGCAACAAGAGTGAAACTCGGCTAGGTGCAGTGGCTCACACCTGTAATTCCAGCACTTTGGGAGGCCGAAGCAGGCAGATCACGAGTCAGGAGTTCGAGAACAGCCTGCCCAACATGGTAAAACCCCATCTCTACTAAAAATACAAAAAAAATTGCCGGGCGTGGTGGTGCGTGCCTGTAGTCCCAGTTACTCAGGAGGCTGAGGCAGGAGAATTGCTTGAACCCGGCAGGCAGAGGTTGCGGTGAGCTGAGATCACGTCATTGCACTCCAGCCTGGGTGACAGAGTGACACTCAATCTCAAAAAAAAAAAAAAAAAAAAGAGTGAAACTCCGTCTCGAAAATAAATACATAAATAAAATAAAAAATATCCTACTGCTGTGGCATTTATTCTGTGTTAATTTAACCAGTATTTATTAAGCATCTACCATGTACCAGGCCCCAGACCGAGACTTAGGGTCACAACCGTGAGTAAGGCAGACATGGTCTCTGCTCTCATGAGGCTTCCACAGTGTGGGGATGAAGGGGAAAGTAGCCCATGCTGGGCCTCGGGGACGATAAAGGATTTTGATGAGCAGAGAAGGGGGAAGAGGGCCGGGCATGGTGACCTATGCCTGTAATCCAGCACTTTGGGAAACCGAGGCAGGTAAGTCACTTGAGCTCAGGAGTTTGAGAACCACCTGGGCAACATGGCGAAACCCTGTCTCTACAAAGAAATAGAAAAAATAACTGAGCTTGGTGGTACACGCCTGTAGTCCCAGCTGCTTGAGAGGCTGAGGTGGGAGGATCTCCTGTGCCCAGGGAGGTCGATGCTGCACTGAGCTGTGACTGTGCCATTGCACTGCAGTCTGGGCAACAGAGTGAGGCTCTGTCTCAAGAAAAGAAAAAAAAAAAAGAAGTAGGAAGAGAGTTTCAGGTGTAGGAATTGCCTAAGGAGTGACTTTCCAAATTCACTCAGTGGTACATTCACACTTGCATTGATCAAATATTTCCTGAGGCCTGCAGGGTGCCGGGCACTGAGCTAGGCTCTGGGGTGCCACGGTGAAGCAGACAGGCCCTGCCCCTGCCTCGGGGAGCTGACGAGGCACAGGGCTCTGAGAGTATGAAGATGAGGTGTGGGAGTGATGGCGGGCCCGGTCATGGTGGATGAAACTCAGAGAGTCCGCTGGCGCATGAGTCAGGGTTTTCCAGAGAAACAGAACCAGCGGGAAGCGTCTACATAAATGTTCTTGTTGCATTTTCTACATTCACTCTTTTTTATTTATTTATTATTTTTTTTTGAGATGGAGTCTCCCTCTGTCACCCTGGCTGGAGTGCAGCAGCACAATCTCGGCTCACTGCAATCTCCGTCTCTTAGGTTCAAGCGATTCTCATGCCTCAGCCTCCCGAGTAGCTGGGATTACAGGCATGTGCCATCACGCCTGGCTAATTTTTGTATTTTTAGTAAAGACGGGGTTTTGCCATGTTCGCCAGGCTGGTCTGGAACTCCTAGCCTCAGGTGATCCACCTGCCTTGGCCTCCCAAAGTGCTGGGAGCCATGGAACCAGGGCCCTACTGGGATACCATACTGCTATAACATGTGGATGTGGACATGGATATACAAGCATGTTGTAAACTGTAAAGTATTTTAGAAATTAATTGATTCAGGAGGTCCCAGTAGGATCCTGGTTCTGAACATCTGATTCCATGTGCGTGTGTCTCTGGGCT